ATGTTTGTGGTTGTAATGTGACAAAATATGGAAAAGTTCAAGGGGTATGAATACTTTTGCAAACCACTGTATATCAATTCATGAATACTTATGATAGTACAGTAAATTATCAGTCTTGATGTTAAAATGACTTTATAATTACTGGCTCATTTATATTTAATTCTGGCAATGGAAATTATAGTCAAGCAAAAATGGAAAAGTGAGATTAGTCCCCTAACGCTCTTACTTTACCAATGTGGGTCAACCGGAAGTTGCATCTCTTCCCCAGAGACTCAGAATTCAGCTAGACGCTTCCACCGGCAACACATTCAGCTTGTCTTTACCTTAGATGGCGCTCAGACATCTGGTGGTTACATTTGCTGGTTCTTCCTTAGATCAGTAAGCTGACTTTGCCGTCTGCTTAACTTTTCTCGGGTCAAACAGGTGTTTTTCTTATGGGGAACTTGTGGTCCGCCTCTCTTCTGGTCTGGAAAATTATGCTTCAATCCGGTTTCTCCTTCAAAATAAAACTACCTTCAAAAAGGTATGAATAATTGCTTTAGAGGTCCTTATGACCTTGGTTCGGAGCTCAACGGCATGTTGAGACCCCAGCTGCAAGTCCTCCCATTGGCGTGTGGGCCAGACTTAACAGCTAAAATTAGCTGAAAACTCCCGGAGGAAAAAATCAGCCTCTTCCCAGTTTGTTGTCAGGAAGTAGAGTCGTACGTCTCTCTAAGGTGTCTGTGTTAGTATAAGCCCAGACGCCTTAGGTTCTGCCCACAACTTAAGATGATTCATCACTCAGGAAAGAGGAGAAATGAAATGGAAGAATAGAACAGAAGTTTAAGGAATCAGCTTGCCAGGTGCCAGTCAATATTCATGTAGCTTTGTCAAGAACACAATAACACATTCCTTCAGCTTCTTTCTCAATCAAATCACTGCAAAACATGTCATGTGATTAAACAACATGTTCTATGTTTATAATCACTTCTAAACCACTTGCGTTAGTTTAGACAAATAAAAAGATTTTCTTCAAGAAAAAATCCACAATCATATTACTGCAAACAGTTAAATTAAAAACAGTGATTTGCATAAAACAATGAAACATTATAATCAGATTCTGTATTTCTTTT